TCTTTTGTTCTTCACCGCTGTCGTATTTTAATTTGGTTATTCCATAAGCAAAATCATGCAAAATACTGCTTGTAAATATAAAGTCTAAGAAATGTTCACAGTTTGTTTGATCAAGACTAGATCGGACGAATACTTTCTTCTCTGGAAATGCCAACCCTTTATGAGATGCATGCCATTTTCTTGCTGTTTCTATACGATGTTTGGTACACTCAAATGTGTTCATTATAAACTTTTTGGTATACTTGGTATGATCTAATAATGAGAGGATAACTAACTTTCCCATGGAATCACTTTGCTTATATACTTTCTGAGCACGAATAATTTCAATTGGTAGAGGGCTATTTATTTCATCAACATTTTTACTGTTAAGAAAATCTATGAGTAATTCCTCTTGTCCAGGAGCAACAGCTTCCGCAAATTTTTTCTTTAATAAGTTTTCTAGGCAAACATACTTGCGTTTTAACTTATCTTTAGTAGTATCTTCCAGATATTCGAACTTCCTTTTTAATCTAAATTTTATTGGACTTGCATTAAGAACCTCAGTTACACTCTCACGGCTTCTTAGAGATTCGTCCAAAATCTCCTGTGAAACATTAATTTCACCGGGATCAAATTCTTCATCTGGAGTAGCAGGTGTCATATATGTTTGTTCTTGTTGTTTTTGTGTTTCTGTACATAAATTGGTGTTTTCGTTGACTCTAGATAAAGCAGTTTCTTGCTTTAAATGGGTAAAACACAGCATTGCACCAACTGAAAATACTTCATTGTATCGCTTTGACATTGGTATGACAACATGTATTGGTGACGCCCTTAAAGCGGGAGGTTTAAGGGCGTCACCAATACAAAAAATATTTGTTTTGTTCCATACTCAACTAAAAACAAGTTCTATTTATGCAGTACCTATTTCTCAATAGCAATGATAAAATATCTACTCTATTTATGCAAATTTTAAAGATCGTTAAAATAAAGTTAAGACATTTTTATGGTAAAGTAAACAACCGCCCGCTAACTTGTTTCTCCACAATCGTGATATCAGTGATTCTTCTTCCATTCGATCACCACAAGTTATTTGGTTATGACGTAAATTTAAATAATTCACTTCTGATCATTTATTGTTTTTTATTATTATTTATTTCAATTGTTATGATTTCTATATTATTGTCAGAAACGCTTAAATGTTTTCTTAACATTACGTGCAATGTTTTGTGTAATGCTAATTGCTAATTTTGGATGATAGAAATTTTATTGTGAGCGAAAACCTCAAAAATATATATCTTCTCCAAAAAAATATCTCTTCGTACTTAATCATTTTTAACAATTTTTACCTTTATTTTTAACTTAATATCTAAAGATCACATGAGTTTTTTTTTAAACTATGTTAGGGTCATCTTATATTGACCATTTAAGATGATTATATTTTTACAAAACTTAGCGCCTCTGCCGTAATAGCTCATTTTGTAAGTATACTATAACATTTTTTTCCAATTTCAAGCCTTAATATATTAATAGGCCTTAGGTATCACATAACTTTCTTTGCATTTTTAGACTCAATACCTTTGATAATTTTAAATCCTAAAAGAAAAATTGTGTGCAACACTTGCCGCTAGAATTTACTCCGATTAAAAATTGCCAATTAAAAATTGGCAAAAATGATTGATTTTGTACTTTTGAACTATGATAATTAGCCAACCGCACAGTGTCACGCAACTTTTTTATATTTTTTGGAGAGAGCTTTTAGGTTACGTCTGATATTAACTACAAAAGCTATGTGCAACTTTTTACCTTGCCAAAAAAATGGGTTCAAAGGTGGCAAAAACTAAATTTCTAAAAATTTTAAAAAAAATCTCAAAAATTTAAGCCCAGATTCCGAGTGAACGAAACATTTTTGAAAATTTTTTTTTTCCCCAACAGGTTTTCTCTATATTCTGATCAATATATAAAAAATTCAAGCAATTTGGAGGAGGTCACTTCCATTGACTGCCTGATTCTTACAAAAAATGACTCTTAATATGTAATCATATATTTTCCAGAGATCTGAGTTTTTGAAATCTAAATTTTTTTAGCCTAATAAAATATTAGTTTTAGGAGATAGCATTACTGAGTAAAAAAAATAAATTAACTGAGGTAAAAAAAAAATTCGATCACATAAATGATTTAGAGGTACATTATAGAGCGGTAATTTAAATAGCAAACCCTGTTAAAGAATTATCATTTTGTCCCGTCGCTATAAAAATCATATAATTTCTTTGTATAAATATTTATGATGTAAACTAATACCTAGTGGGGTCTCTTTTTGATTCAATAACTGCTTGACAACAAAGACTTATTGGCGAGATCAATTTTTGGAATTGCGTTCCAAGCAGCCTTTATTTCAATCCAAAATTAGTCTATTCGTTGTAGTTGATTAAATTAAGTTTCCGTCAACTTCTTCTTCAACAACTTGAAATTATTCGTGCTCAGAAAGTATATAAGCAAAGTGATTCCATGGGAAAGTTAGTTATCCTCTCATTATTAGATCATACCAAGTATACCAAAAAGTGTTAAAGTGTCAACAATCTTGTTAACACTTTAACACTTTTGGCAGTGTGCTTGGGATCGTTGCCTTTTTGGAAATCTAAATAAAAGCAAGATTTTCCTCGGCATAAGACAACATGACATTTTCGAGTATTTCTTTGTACATGTGTTCATTGTCCCTTAAATTTTATGCAACGGGCCCTCGCCACTCCATGAAAAACTGCCCCAAACAATCACCTTGCCACCGCAATGTTTTACAGTCTTTAGAGTATACCAAGGGCTAAGTTCTTTGTTTTGAAGGCAACAAAAGTTTTCCGTTGATCAAAAGCAATTAAACTTAAACTTGTCAGTCCAAAGCATATTTTTCCAAAAACGTAACTCTTTGTATACCTACTGTTTTGCAAACTTCAAATGACTGACAAAATTGCGTTTTGAGACCAATGGTTTTTTTCGAGCAACTCTTCACTAGTCGACTATCTTACAGACAACTTATGAGTCTTATAGGATCGCATATATTCTTATACTATCCTACAGGATATCTTACAGGATTTGTAAGATTTTATTTGTCTTTCAAATCCTATAGGACTATAAGAAATCCTGTGATTACCCATAGGGTATCTTAAAGGATTTGTAAGATTTTATTTGTCTTGCAAATCCTATAAGATCATAAGAAATCCTGTGATTATCCTGTAGGGTATCTTAAAGGATTCGTAAGATTTTCCATTTTTTTAATTTTTTTTGAAAAATGAAAAACTTATCGGTGGTGGGTTTTGAAACCCGGATCACTAGACCATTAGTGCCTTACCACCTGCGCAACACAACATTATAAGTATGGAAATAAATAAAAATACATTATAATTACAAAATAATTAAAAACTATTTTTATTGAATGTATATAAACAAAATTAAGATATTAGATTCTCAAACAGCATGTTCATTATAATGAACATGCTGTTTGAGAATCTAATATCTTTTTAATTTTTGTTAAAGAAATATATAAATAGTTGCTATATCATGATTATTTTATGTTATGGATTTTATGAAAATTTTATAAACTTGGTAACATAAATATGCATAAGTTTTGTTGTATCTCTAAATATGAATACTGTAAAAATTCAATGTTCAATGTTCAATGTCGTTTCGCTTTCGTTTTTAAAGCAGTTTTAATTAGTTACTAGGCTTTTCTAAACTTGAAACAGCGCGTTCTCAAAATGTACGCGGTTATAAGAGGAAGATCTTTCAACCGAGTTAAAACTTTTTACCTTTAGAATTGAATTAATATTAAGATTAGTTTAGAAATATTACATAAAGAATCATATTAAGATAAATAATCATCGTTAAGATCATATTATAATAATCATCGTTAAGATCATATAAGCATTGAAAATAGTTTCGCAATTTATATATAATATTTTTTATTAAAAATAAAATAAAAAGGATCACTCCTTTTAATTTTTTAAATCGTTTACATTTTGTTTGTTTTAGTTTTTCTTTTGGCTTTATTTTTTTTTAGCAGTTTTTATTGAGCATATCTTCTATTTTTTAAAAGGAAGATAGAGGTAAGGATGAGGTCTAATTATTTTTTTATGCAACAAAAAAGTTATACTAATGCAACAAAAAAGTTATACTAATTTCAATAAAATTGGTTATTACTACCATGAAATTTCTGTGATGCTATTAACTGCTTTTGCTCTTTTTTAGAAAATTTAGAAAAATAAATTGAAATTTCGTGCCACTACTGACATGTCACATGTTATTGTATGTAAAGATTAAATTTTTGTTATGAGAACTACAGTTCTTATGAAAGAAAAAGGTAAAGAGTATTGTTTGTATATAAATATTTATATTTTGTTTACTTTAAATCTTTTAAAATTTTTTTATGCCATTTTTAAAATTTTTGTTTGCACAATTCAAGTTATATGTTTATTGTTTGCATTGCTTTTTTGATAATTATGTGTATATTGTAAAATGTGCTTTATAGCACATTTTACAATATACACATAATTATTAAAATTTTATTTTTATCAATGTGTTTTTATAATAATGTAACATGTTTTTTTATTGTTTGTGTATGTGTTAATATAAGTTATATAATTGTTTTATAAAAGTGTATAAATATGTTTATATATGTTTTCAAAGGGTTACAAAGCGTTTCAAACTGTTACTGCTTTAGGTCTAGGTGTTTTCAAGCCTTTATTAATAATTACTCTGAAAGTACATAATGTATTTTAATAACATTTTGCGTAATGTTGTTACTGATATATGCATATTATATGAACTTATGGTGAATGCTATTGTTGTTGTGATGTTGCTTTTTTGTAATCTTTTGAGTTGATATACATTTGGTTTACCTTCAAGTTGTTGTCTACTGTTAAAAATGATACATAGTTAATTTCATTATTAGACCTCACTGCATTTACTCATTCGCTAAAATTAATATTTAGATTCACTAAAAGCCTACTACTACTGATCTACTGATGTGATTTACTCTGGTAAATCACATCAGCTTTATCAGGTACAATGATTTCATTTTTTTGTATGTAATTTTTTTCTTATTTACTTATTTGTTACATTTTTTATTTATCAAATGATGTATTAATGTGGTATAGAAGAACAAAATATTGTTAAGTTTAGTGAATTTTTTAAAAATTTTTACTAATATTTTTTTCAAATAATATTGAAGTTTGCTTAAAAGGGTTTTACTACGTTTTTTTTTTTAATTTTTCTATATTAGGAGTTTTCGTTTTATTATTTTTAATGCAAATATCTATTTTTTATTATATTATTATTTTTTCTTTAGATCTAAATTGGAGCAGCTACAGACTATATTGCTCCCAGCACCCAGGACCACTCTGAGAGGTCCTTTAACAAATGTTGCAGTAATAATGGTATGGAATAGCCCTCTTTCAAATGGAGGGCTCATCCATACAGGGGTGCTGGGAGGCACCAAGTAAAAAATAGCAACAAAAAATTTTTTAATATATTCAATCAGTGAAGATATTAATTTTTTTAGTATTAATTTTTTTAATATTAATTTTTTTGTTGCTGTTTTTTCCTTGGTTTTTATTTTCATTAAAAAAATATGTATATTCTAAATTGTTTGTTTTTATTTTTTTAGTATTTGTTTAGATTATTATTTATAGTTTTTATTACTTTAATTTTTGATTCACAATATTACATGGCTATTATATTGCTTCGAGTATATACCATATCAGTTAATCATTTTTGAAAAAATGTACTGCAGCAATTTATTAATTATAACAAAAATCACATTTAAGTTTGTAATATTTTTAAGTTATAATTTTAAACTAATTAGTTGATTTCCAGCAGATTTTATTTCTTTTGATTGTTTTGAATTTAATAATTTAGTGTTTATAGCTTTTAACTTATGTTAAGCTTTAATAAATTTAATCTTCTGATTTTAATGTTTAATAAATAATATAAAATATTGGAAAAAAGATTAAGTAATAAAAAAACAGATAATTAATCTTTGATAAACTTTGTCATGTTGCTTATTATATTGTTGGCATTTCAGTGATGCTGTTAAATTTTTTTTTTCTTTAGAATTTAGAAAAATGAATTAAACTACAACTTTTGAACAGTCATTGTTTGTGAAGGTTAAATTATTTGCATGTTTTTTATACAATTTTTTTATAGAAATAGTATTAAAGTTTACTAAAAGGGGTTTACAAATACTTTACTTTTTATTTTTTGTCTTCTTTTTTTTTGTATTAACAGTACCCTTTATCATTAAATTTTTTATTATTATTATTTTTTTATTACTATTGGTTAATTTTTTTATTTACATTATATTTATAAGTTTATTTTTTGTTTAAACATCTTTTAACGGATATATTAAAAAAAATGTTTTTATAAAAAACTCACAATATTGTTGTATAATTTGGTTTATTTTAAATGAAAATTTCCTATGTAATGTTTTAAAAATTATTCTTTGTGTGTGTGCAATTTAGAGAAGTAAAAAAAAAAATCACAATCTTCAAGATTCTTTTAAGATTTTTTGTTACTACTATCAATTAAAAGTGAAGTTTAAATGGATGATATAAGGCTAGAAGTGGCTATTAGTTTAGAAAATGATGGACTAAGCAAGTTGAAAATAATTGTCGCAGAAATTCAAGAAATGGGCTGAGGCGGGATAAAATTAATAATCAACACAATGCTAGATATGCTGCATGGCAAGCCACGAATAATTTAAATCAAAATGAGGACAGTGTGATTAGGCAAGTTGAAAATAGTTGTCACAGAAATGTAAGAAATAGGCTGAGGCAAGATGAAATTAATAATCAACCAAATGCTAGATATCCTGCTAGGCAAGCAGCATGTACTTTGAACTGAAATAGGGAGAAAAAAGGGCAAGATAGATGTCACTATAATCTCCGTTCACATAATGAAGTTGCATTTTTTGGTGAAGATAGTGCTCCACCTACTTCCAGTGAAGTTATTATTTTCCCAAGAGGTCATCCTCTTAAAATATATCAAGTATGTCTGCCAAATTAGAGCCTATGGTTTGTTCTTTATTTTTTCTAAGGGGTGATACTGGTTGGCATAATCAATTGGTTTACAACCCTGAACGTGCTACATTGATTAGAAATCACGTTACATTATCTCAGTATTATAGTTATAGACTTTTAGTTGGACAATTAACTTAAACAAAAAAAATAGGTGAAGTGATTTTTAGTAACTTCAGATCACTTTGTTGTTATTTTTTTATTACTATTAGAAGGGTTAATAATAAAAGTTTTTAGGCATTAGAACTGGTACTGATTTTAGTAAGTTTGCTATATTTTTTTACTTAATGTTTTCATTAGATTTAATAGGTTTTTTTAAATTACTTTGGAGTAAAATATATTACTTAGTGATATTACTTCATTTTTTACACTTTTAGATTATGTATTGTTGTCTAGATTCTTTGTTAAATTATAATTTATTGATGTAAATAAATTTTTACTTTTATTTTTGTTAGACAACTTTTAATCGAAAAATAAAAATAAAAATCTAAGGAGGCGTGAACTTTCTATTAAATGCTTATCCACGGTGCTCTGTGATAAGACCTTGAGGACTTCTTGGAGCACCTAAAATAAAATTAAAAAAAAAGTTGTTGAAATATAAGAAATGCTGCTCGGCGAGCAGAAAACTTACTTGCCAGAATTCATTGTCAAGCGGTGTTAATGTGTGTTTATTTGATTTTATTTTAAACACTTTAAAACAATTTAAATCAAATAGTTTTAAATTTAAATGATTTTAAGTTTTTTTATAAATTCAAATGTAATTATGTTCTTTTTTTTTTTAGTTGCCTTTGTTATCACTTGATTAGTTTGCTTACTGTTGAAACATGGTTTTAATTTTGTAAATTCAATGATATGAAATTTACTCTATTAATCATTAGTTGACAGTTAAAGAGAAGCTGGAGCTTTACATAATAAAGGTAAAAATAATTTTGTTTACTCTTAGATAAGAGTTGAAAGAGAGTTAGTGCATGGAGCATCAATAAAACTTATATAATTACTTTTTAGTTTAAAAAAAAGTAATTATATAAGTTTTATTAATGCCACAGTTGATAACGACCATGTATATAAAAAATTTTATGAGCTGCTTGGTATTTTATGATAAAATTGTTCAATATTGTAATCAATAAAATCTTTTTAGCTCAAGTATTTTAGTTGATAAAATATCTTAAGTTGTGGTGTTATACGTTATTATGTTATTTACTACGTTAAGTTGTCTAGCCTTTATATAATCTTTTCTTTTTTAATCATTTTGGACAGACATAGTAATGTGTGCTTACAAATATCTTATGCTATGCGCTATTGTTAATGTGTTTTGTGTTGATAGAACTGGGCTATTACAGCAATTTTTTTAAGTCGTTATATCTTCATTCTATCAACAATAAAATGCAAATAATACTTTGTAATTATTTTTCGTTCCTTTTTTTTAGGCATTGGAAGGCTTTACTTGACTTTCTTTTTATAGTACCTGCTGTGTTGTAACAGATCTTAAAAAGAACTTTACGGATGTTAACGTAGTCTTTTTTGTTGGTAACCGTAACCAATTATTTAATTACTAATAACCCGTATTACGGGTTGCTTACTGCTAGTTAATAATTATTATTGTATTTAAACTATACTCTAATTAATTAATAAAAATTAATAATAAAAATTGTTATATATTTATTTTACATATTATATATATATATATATATATATATATATATATATATATATATAATATATATATATATATATATATATATATATATATATATATAATTCAAAATTTAAGTTTTTGACCAGTCATTCGTTTGACCGAATCGATCCATGGATTTGACTAATATGCTAATAATAATATTTGACTAATAATATTTGACTAATTTGCTAATAATAGGCATTTCAAATGAATTTTTTTTTTTACTTAAATTCGCCTAAATATTTGGAGCAAGTAGCTAAAATTTCAAGTGTTTTTACTTTTTACTTAGTCATACTTTTTAAATAATTTAAAAATTTTGTCAGGGGGTAATAATCCCATCCCTTGTGGGTAATAAAGGGGGTAATAATCCCATCCCTTGTGTCTGTGATGGGTTAAGGGGCGGGACGGGTTTTAAATTTTTAATTAATGATTAATTGCCTGATTTCAATGATTTTTTTTTTATATATTTTTATTTCTTATTATAGAACCACAGTTCCTGATGCAATAATACGAAATCTCAAAGAGCAACTTGCAACAGTTTTTGCCAATTACTCGTGGGCGTGCGTCAGACGAAGTCTTAATCAGAGCGGCCTAGATAGGAAGAAAAAACGAAAGTAATCAGCAATGCAATTGTGATTCTGTAATAATGATAATATGTGAAAAATTTCTTTTATACAGAATGATTTTTTTTAATAAGAAAATGTTATTTCAAACTTTAACTTACCTATTATCAGTAATTAAAAAGAAGAATAGACATACTTTCCTTCCAATCAAAATAAAAACCTAACTTCGTATGTTCTTAGTTTGGTTATTAGATTCATGATATTAATTATAAAATAATAAATGTTATGGTTCCTATCGTTGGCGTATTAAGACTTTTTAGGGCCCGGAGTCCTTTTTAACGTGCCACAGCATAAAAATGACTAAAACAGTAAAAAAAGAAAAAGGTCCGCTTAATAGTTTCGGAATCCCGAAATTTTAGGGCCCTAGCCCCCTCCTCTTTAATCTACAACTGGTTCCTATAGAAACCAGTGCTGGATTAAGGGGGAAGGCTACGGCCGTATATATACGAATCTAAAATTTTCCTTCAGCATCCTATAAGAATCCTGTTAATCCTGCAAGATCTTTTAAAGAATTCTTGTAGATCTTATATTATCTTATAAGAATTACTTCAAATCCTACAAGATCCTTCAAAAGATTCTTGTAGGTCCTGCAGGGACTTGTGCATCTCATCCTATAGGATTTTTGTAGGATTTGTAAGATCAGTCGTCTAGTGTTCTAAATAGATTATTTTTTGAAAGTGTTTACAGACAGATTGAACTGTAAATTTTGAGCAATTTGATCTTTAATTTTTGGTGCGGCAGCGAAAGAATTTAGCTTAGCGATACGGACAATGGCTGCGTCTTCTCTAGGGGTTGTCTTTCGTTCGCGAGACTTGCGTTATTTGTTGCTTAATTAACCAGTATTGTTGAATAAATTAACTGTATTGATAACTTTTTTAAGAAAACAACCCAATTTTCGAATTTCAATTTTCGATTTCAGAGTTGTTCGATTCTTGATTCTGAAATGCCTGTATTTGTCCTCGACATGGCATCTGTTCCATCTTTACCTCGTCCTATAGTTAAACGAATTAATAATCAAAATCTTATGAGAAGGTTAGTTATTATATAACATTTGCTTTTTACCATATATAGTAATTCCAGAGCGCAACAAAAAACGTTTGGTTTTTGACAAAAAAACACGTAATTTTTATGAAATTTACTCTTTTACATCTTTTTTTATAATAAAGTTAGAACTTTGAAGTTTTTTGCATCAATTAGTTTGACTCGACTTATTTCTATTCGTATATAGAAAGTACAATTTTTAATATGGCTTTTTTTCTATATCATTCATCAACATTTGTACATAATTTTTAAGTTCTCAGCGTATAAATACTTTAAGGTCGGTTTATTTTTTTAAAAACACTTTTTCTAAAAAGTTTCATGTGAAAAAACAAGTAGAGCCTTTCTTCTATTCAAATCAACTATTTATTTATGTTTTCTTGTAGAAATGGTGCTAGGAATTTTGTTTAGAAATTATGTATATAATGTTTCTATTCCTTTGCGTATCGTTTGTTTTGATTTTTGTGCTGGATTTGGCATATAGTTGTGTTATTAAACCTTCTAGCACACTGTATTGATAATTAAGAACTAAAAGATGCCTAAAGAAATAGCTTATAGAATAGAAAAACGAAATTAAACTTCTTACCTTATTCAAGTTGTCCAAAAAATATTTAAATTCTTGTGGCAAAGAATTGTATTTAAACCTAATCATTTTTTTTACTTTTATCAACATATTTAAAGAACGATCTGAACAAATTGAACTGCAATTACTCGACAGTGTATCTTATTATTTTTTTCAATATTTTACAATCATTACGCATTATTTTAGTCGTTAATTATTTATAGAGTTATGCAGTTATACAAGTCAGCACAAAGTTCAACATTTTTGGTTAGCTATTTTTAGTAAGATGCAAATCCAGGTTTGCAATTTTAGAGAAAACACAGACCTAGAATGTTTTTGTTTGCTATTGCGCATGCAAAATATTTTTAAAAAAATTCAAAACCAACTTGGATCGTTGTATCAAATTTTTTTTTTAGCACGTGTTGAAATAAAATATCACATCATCCTAAAATATCACATCCCCCATAGAAAAATCGAAAAAGAGAATGCGTTTTCGAGTTACTGCATTTAGAAGTTTTCAAGAACCTCCAAAACATTCAAGTACATTAAAAACGCAACGAGATTCATAGAAAAGAATTAGAATGTGGCCAGACATTAGGTCAGTTTACTATATATTGTTTATGTATTTGAATGTTTTGGACGTAATTGATACCCTTCTAAGTGCAATAACTCGAAGAACGTTCTCGTGTTCGTTTTTTCTATGGGGGATGTGACACTTTAGGTGAATGAGATATTTTATCACAGTACATAAGACTTTAATGCTCAGTTAAAATATAAATTGAAATTTTTATAATAACAGTTTCAAAGTCTGTAATAACAAAATATTCTTGTCTTGATTCATTAAATGATTCTTAATCTGAAAATAAAACATTACCTTGTCTTGGAAAAAGAAAATTGGAAAAATGGAAAAGAAATTAAAACCAGTAAAGCATATTATTGATGAAATCAATAATATGCTTTAGGAGTTTGATGTATTCAGCCAAAAGCAGCATATCTAAGCCAGCTTTGGACTCAAAGAAGGTTTAGGTATATTAGGTATTAATTTTATAATATTTTATTTGGTACCACTATTTCCTTTTGTTTTGCATAATTAATATAATATATAACTTTTAGTTTGTTCATATTTTTGTTTTCAGACTTCTTAGCTGAGTGATTTCTAAGGGAAAATTATGCTATCTTTAGAAAGGCAATTACTGCAAAGTTTAATGATGAAAGCAAACTTGCGAAACGAAGCATTGATTTTTTTAAGAAAAATATTGTTTATAGAAAACATTATGTTAATAACAAAAATAAATTATATATTTAATAACAAGAACTGCTTGCTGACTTAATATTCTATTTTTCTTTTTTTCTTTTTTATTTTGTGAATATAAATCATTGGGTTTAATCAAATTAAGAATTAAAAGATAATGTATGTAGAAATACCCTAGATGACATTTCCATTAAATATCCTTTGACAATTGCAAATGGAAATCCGATCCTATAAGATTTCAAACAAGGTTGAAAAGGATTCTTGTACATTTAAAAGTATAAGATAGTAGTATCTTAACTTATTAACAAGATTATTAATTCTTGTTCCAAAATCTTAAAGGAGTTTTTATCCTATAAGACACCAAATGAACAATTCGGTGCCTTACAGGATAAAACTCCTATACTGTACTTCTGTACGTCCATACCTATAGGGCTTTTATATCCGGTGTCTCATAGGATAAGACTCCTATAAGATTTTGGAACAGGGTTTTATGGAAATCCTATCCTAAAGAAATACCTATTGGTTGTATTTAATTGCATTGTTTTATAAATAAATCATGCTCCAATTTCTTATAGGAATATCCTACATCCATTTTATAGGATATCCTGTTAGAATTTTTGATTAGGGTTGCCTAACTCACTGAAACTTCTGAAATATTTGCCAACGATACCAAACTTTTTTTCTAAAATTTTATTGCAGACTAATTTCGTTGATTTGTAGGATCGTTTATGTTTAGTATACAAGTGGTCAAACACTTGGTAACTTAAATTAAACATTTCAAAATGCTGTGTTATCCATTATGGTAAAACCAATCCTATGAACAGTTACTTTTTGCATAATAACATAGGTATAAATGAAAGCCTAAGTAACTCTACTAAAGAGCATGATTTAGGAGTCATTTTTACACCTAACCTAAGGTGGTACACACATATTCAATCCGTTTGTTTCCAAATCTTAACAAATCCTTGGTATGCTAAGAAAAACATTCACCATCATTGATGAAAAAATGGCTCTCAAGTTATATAAGTGTTTATAAGACCACACCTTGAATATGCAGTGTCTGCTTAAACCCCGTATTTAAAAACTGACGTAGCTTTGGTTGAATCTGTTTAATGTAATGGGCTTCAAGCAACGAAATGGATTTTAAACTTGAGACATCTTAAATACTACGTAAGACTTAAAAGAATTTTCTACCATCACTTGAGTTTCGGTGTCTATGATGTAATCTTATCCAAATCTTTAAACTAATACATCGATTTGACTTTTTCCAAATCTTTAAACTAATACATTGATTTGATTTGAATTTATTATGCTGGGGCACACTGAATCAGGGTATAGTGAATAGGTTGCTTCACTTTGGCCCATTAATTATCTTAAAGATTAAATTCATGCATTCTTAACAAAAAAGTTACATGAAAATGAATTTATTAGATTTCAAATTATAAATTTGAATTTGAAATTTTTAATTTTTAATACTATTTATTTGTTAGTTAATATCAGTTTTGTTATCAATAAAATTTGATTTTTTTTCGTTTGAAATTTATAATTTGGGGTCATCCATTAAGGATGACCCCCAAATTATAAATTTTTAAATTATAAACATTCTCCTATTTCATGCCATTAGTTAAACTTAGTATGACGTCCTTTATGGATGACCCCTTTTACTATATGTTATGCGTAATTCTTTATTGATTACTTTTGCGATACTATTAACTTCTGTGTAATTTTGTCTTTCTATATATATTTTTTTATTTTAATGTTGAAGGTATTTTTTATGTCGCCTTATCTCATTTTTATGTCGCCTTATCTCCTTTTTCCGATCACAATATTGTTATTGTAGCTACTATTATAAGTTATTATTATTATATTTATTATTACTACTATTATTGTTGTTATTATTATTGTTGTTGTTTTTTTATTGTTATTGTTACATTATCATTATTTAACTATTACTCCTTTAATCAGGTTGTTTTTGTCACTTAATCGATCAGATAACGTTGGTTTATTATTAATTGTATCCACTTATCAAATATTTATTTTATAATAAAACGATACTCAACATTTTATTAATGATGTTATTTTTACTTTTAATGATTAGTGTCGCTTATAATCGCCTCATTTCAAGATATCACAAAAAGTGAAACCTTTAAATTACGTGATTAAAATGACTTTCAAAGATAAGTGACTTCATCATTAACACACATTTCCTAATTACTTTAAATTAAATTATCATGGTTATTTAAAATTATTATGGTTATTAATTTTAGTATTACTAATTTTAGTTAATAACTTCAATTTTATTTTATACTTTTATTATATACTGATTATTATTGGAGTGATTGTAAAGGTAAATTAATACCTTGTTGTTGGTTTTGATTGATACCTTTTAATAAAACCGTACTACTTACTAGATTATTTACCAACTACGCACTTACGTACTACGTACAATTTACTTTAAAAGATATAAGTTTGTAGGATATGCTGGTAGACATTAATAAAAAATGTTGAGTATTCAAGTTGTCTCATTATATCATTAAAATAAATCCTCCACAATAATCTTATCGACAGTGTTGAATAACTCAAATTGCAGAAGGATTTTCTGGTTTTATTGAATTTCAGTGAATTTGAAAATGTCTAAGAGTTTATTTTGTGAAATATCACAAATGATTGCAAATTATTTTATGGCATATTTTAAATGCCCAGAATTAGTGCAGATAGCGCAGAACGTCATAGAGTTTTTTTTTTTTTTTTTTTTTTTTTTTTTTTTTTTTTTTGCATTTCAAGTTAACTCTAATTAATGATGAATTAGGTTAATTTAATTACTAGTTAAATAAATAATTAAACATAAATAGACTCAAAGAAGATTGCAACGTTGTAACGTTATTTCAAAAAAAAGTGGAGTAACCTTCTATGCTGTAGTGGTGCCTTTGAAAGGTGAATTTAGTTAAAATTAATATATATTTTTTGTTTTACATGAGAAATTTTAACGCTTTAATTTTTTGCGGTTTTCGACAAAAAGTCTTTACGGTCTGCGCTCATTTGTAAATTTATATGCGCTCCCCGTGCACCTATACCTTTTTCAATTTTCTTATTAGTGACGTAACATACGGTTATTAATTCGCTGTAGATGGTAAGAAAAAACTTAACTAAAAACTGATTTTATTTAAAAAAATTTATTTATAACTTTAGATGATTGGTGTTTTTAATATATGGTACTATTTAAGTACAAAGTTCCAATTAGAGTTTCAGATCTATAAGGAGGACAAGATTGTTTGAGAAAACAATTTCTTGTTTTATTCTTTTAAAGTTAAATAAATTTGATCAACAACTTTAGATTGATTCTCGGAGAAATTTTCAATTAAACTAAAATGATCTTCGTTTTCAAAGGCGCAAATATGAACATTCGAGTTAAACTTTGAAACATGTTCACAGAACTCTTGAGTTTGTCTTCGGAATTCTTCGGACTCATCAGTGCCAACAAAAAATAAAATGCTTTCTGTTTGTAGTTTATCACAGCATTGGTATAAGTTCAACGCCTGAGCACTTTTGTCGTCGATTCGCAATAACTCATTCATTTTGGTCTTAATTAAATGAGTGACATCATAAACTCCGCTTATTAAAACCAAGCCTTTAATGCACATCTTGCTTTCATGAGCAAGCGCAAATGCTAAATATGCTCCTGCCGAATGACCAATAATGCATAGTTCAAACTCTGGAAAACGAGATTTTATAGTATCAAATGCCTTTAAAATTTGTTTTTTTATTTCAAATATACTAACTGTAGGACATAAATCGTAACCAACAACTGCAACGGCGTTTCCATTTTGTAAAAAAGGTTTGGCTATCATTGAATACATTTCTTTGTTCCCTTCATACCAAAATCCACCATGAATATAAACAAAAAGTATTTTGTTAATGTTTACTTTGTCAGGAAAGAAATAATCAACTTTTTCTCTATCGGAATCTCCATACTGTACATTTAATTCGCATTGAAACTTGCTTCTGACAACTTCAGACTCATGCAAAGAAAGTTTCAAATAATGCTCCAAGCATGCATCTCTGCTAGAATGTTTAGAAGTCCAGTAGCTGGGAGTGTATTGTTTTTCAAAGTATGCGTTATCCATTTTTAACGGTATGAAACTGTTTAACTCTTTATTCTCGTATCCCGTTGTCGTGTCAAAATTCTTTTTAAATGTCGTGTAACAACTCTCGTTATTTGTCGTGCCACAATACTTTTTACTTGTCGTGTCACAGTTCTCGTTATTCGTCGTGACACAATTTTTAGAAGTTGCTTACTCAGAAGTTTAAAAAAAGTATGGTATTAATGAACTATTTATTTGAATTTAATAAGAAAACAATTAAAAACTCTTACTAAGTGTTGCGACAAATTTCTCCAAAACGGCTTTATATCATCGACTTATTAATTAAATCAACAACTACAAATCTCTAAAATAAACAAGCACATTAAATAAATAATATATGATAATAAAAACTAAATAAATAAAGAAAAATCTTTTTAAAAATTTAGTTTTTGGTCTTTATCTCAGCTAACTTAAAATTTTTAAAAGCTAAACAAAACTAACGACTTTTGCAAATTAAACCATCTATAAGTTACGTAACGTAACCGTCTATAAGTTACGGAACACTAAGTTAATTCAAAAAGTTTCAAAGTTTAAAAGAATCATTTGCTTTTTTTGCCTAGCCATTTTCATTGTATTATATTTGCAAATAACTAAATTAAATTAATCTTCAAATTTAATTAAATTAACTAAATCAAAAGTTAAAACTTTTAATTTAATTAAAGACTCTACGAAGGAAAACTTGCGATCTTTTTTGTTTTCTTTATTTAAAGAATTTAGCGTTGCGCAATGAGTTTAAGTCGACATATTATATGTCGACTTAATATGCATATTATAATAGGCCTATTATATAATACTAGCAGTAATACGGGTTGTAAGTAAACAAAATTAAAAAAAAACGCAGTATAGAAAAGCCTAGAAACTACTTTAAAATAGAAAAGCCTAGAAAATGACGTAAGTCGACTTTTAACTACTACTATTAAATTAGCGTATTAATATTAACAGATGCATATTATAGGACCTCTTATACGTATAATACGACCTCTTATAATACTTATAATACAACATTGTTGACCTCTTATAAACCATTTTAGTAAATCCACTTTAGATTTTTCAAAAAATCCAAACCTATAAGTGATTCCTGTTACAATCAAAATAATCATATTAACAGAAATTATAAACTAAATTAAAAAATTTTTTATTCAAATGAAACGTTCAAATAACTTTATTTAATCAAAGCAGCGAATTAAATAATGAAAAAATCAACTCAACGGCTATTATGTTGGATTTTAAAAAATTGATTGACGGTTGGTCGGTAAAATTTTAAAACAGTTAATAAAGAATAGTGTTATTATTGACTTCGACTAAATTGAGGGAGCAGGAAAAAATCCCCCCGGAAGATATCCCCCCCCTATATAATCCCCCCAGAAAATATCCCACTGGATGTTTTTTTACAGCGCATAAAATAAACGATATATCAATATAAAGTTGTCTATCATATAAATATTTTATACATACGTATTATAATACAAGCAAAACCTTAATCCTCCATTTTTCATAAATTGACTGACAAGTAGATAGAACATGCAAGGAGTGTACATACATCGACTGACAAATAGGTAGAACATGCAAGGAGTGTACATACATTGACTGACAAATATATAGAACATGCAAGGAGTGTACAAATGTCGAATGACAAATAGGTAGAACATGCGAGGAGTGCCGCAACATTGACTGAGGGTTTTAGTTTGGGGAGGCAATCAATCAATTTCAAAGCAATATCTTTTTTTTTTTTAATTTTAATTTTTGCGGGGGATTTTTTCTCAGGGGGATTGTTTCCGGGGGAATATTTTATAGAACCTTAAATAGTAGGGCAAAATAGCTTTAAACCTGGACAAAACTAGTTTTTTTTGGTTTGAGTTTTTAAGTTAAATGTTTTCAAAGCGCGAATAGATAAACATTTTTTATAACTTGTGTTTTTTTAAGTTGCGTGGGCTGTCTATAACCCGATGCTTGCATCGCGTTCCACAATTTATTTTATTTTTAAATATTTATATTTAAGCAAATTTGTAATTTTTACAGCAATTAATATTACTATTACTAATTATTTTAAAGCATCTTGTTAGACGTAGGAAAAACTACTCCATAGATTTTTAAACATTTATTTACAACTAGCTAATCTGACCCGATTATATATATATATATATATATATATATATATATATATATATATATATATATATATATATATATATATATATATATATATATATATATATATATATATATAAACATATATATATATATATATATATATATATATATATATATATATATATATATATATATATATATACTATTTAAAATGTATTCTACAAAAAAGAGTGCTCAATGTTCTTAAAAGAACAGAGCAATTACAAATTGGTAGAAAATCGCCTAGCAAAATTTTTTCTCATTTAACACTTATTATTATATATATATATATATATATATATATATATATATATATATATATATATATATATATATATATATATATATATATATATATATATATATATATATATATATATATAATCGGGTCAGATTAGCTAGTTGTAAATAAATGTTTAAAAATCTATGGAGTATTTTTTCCTACGTCTAACAAGATGCTTTAAAATAATTAATACAAACCAAGAATGTTTATTAAACAAAAAATCGAAATTGATTTCTAAATGCAGGCACGAAAATAAGTTTCTCCTAAAAAACTATAAAAATAAGTGAGCTCAAATAATAGTTAAATTAACTCCCCTTTGAAAAAAATATATTATTTTTTAAAAAAGCTTAAGTAATCATTTCTAAAGAATTCTTTTTACAATAGTGTCAGCAAACTACACAAATGTGTGAAAAATTGCAGTAGTTAAGACATGTGACTTCCTGTAATTTAATTTTTGGTATAAATTAAAGTTTTATTAATTTGATCATTCATTTCTGATGAGTCTTTTTTGATTAAACACAGTGTTAAATGAGAAAAAATTTTGCTAGGTGATTTTCTACTAATATATATATATATATATATATATATATATATATATATATATATATATATATATATATATATATATATATATATATATATATATATATATATATATATATATATATATATATATATATATATCCCAGCTTTCCATGAAATATGGGTCTTTACCAAACCTACAACTTCTATACTTATCAATTCCACACCGATCATTTCTATGCCTTTTATTTGTTTATTTTTAATATTTTTACGTAAAGTAATTCATTTTAAAAATTGCTTCAAGAGTAAAAAAATTACCATGCGCAGCTTTTCCGCGTACCTTAGGTATTAGGTTTGTTTTTCTCCAGAACGCATACCATTGATAGCTCAGTGGTTTAGTGCGCCGAAATTTACGGGGCCCTAGGCACAGTGCAGGATTAAGGCGGGGCTAGCACCGTGCCCCGCAAATTTAGGGGCCCCAAAAAATTTTAGAGGACTTTTTTTTTTTTAGGCATTTATAGGCATTTTTAGGCAATGGCCCATAAAATAGCTCCGGGCCCCAAGAAATCTTAATCCGCCACTGCCTAGGCAGGCAGGATAGTGGACTTCCTGAATGCCGCGGCCCCGCACGGGGCTCTAACTTCACATTTGCTACTTAGTATGTGCGGCCAAAGATGGCATAGGTGCGGGGCCCTTTACCATCTATGTCCAGTTTTGAAGCATTTCTGCCTCACTTTACGGCGCTTCTGAATGGACTATTTTGCTTGGATTATTTATAAAAAATGAGCATTTCGTAAAAATATTTACTTATTTCATTCATTCAATCTTGAGATATCTGGTTTTAAAATCTTACTAATCAGGTAAAATCATCAACATGAAAAAATTGAGTTTTAGTCTGAAATGATATAAGAAACTTTTTTAGGACATTTTACCACCAGCAAAGCAAGATTCATACTTTTCATACTTATTATTATATATTTTTTTTTTACTTTTTCTTTTTTCTTACTTATTCTCCTATTTATTCTTTATCCGCTATTTTATCCGTATCGCTTAACTTTTTTTCTTTTTTAACGATTGGACTATATTGCTTCTCCATTCTTGCTATACGTTGACGATCTTGTGCAATAGATTTTTCATCTATTTTTTTTTTTTTTTTAATTAAGGTGTTTTTAATTAAAAAAAAATTTTAATTAAAAACACCTTAAGTACGCAAAAATATATTTTATAACTTTTAACAGTGTCCCTATTATAAGCCTAATAGAGATAAATATATTTAAAATAATTGATTTTTAAAATAATTGATTTCTACACGTGTGGGGTCAATAGAAATATAATATAGAAAATTTTCTTATTAAAAAATCCCGACCGAAATTTTTTTAGTTTCAAAAAACAAATTAAAATTTTATATTTGTTTTTTTAGATGATATTTAGTTTAATAATATGACCTGTTTTGATAGGGCAAGAAAAATTTTTCTTAATTAGGAGAGAGCTTGGACCCTCCGTACACACCTTTGATCCTATAGCGTTATCTGAATACTTACATAAAGAAGGCTGATAAACAGCGTGTTTTAAATATTGAATCTACAAAATTAATTGTGTTTTGGTAAAAGAATAAACTATTTATAAATTTATTTTTAAAAAGTTTGACTTTGATGGTAGAAAGTAATTTTTATACTTTTACGATAAACCTCACATTTCTAATATCTTTTTGAGCTAAGTTTTGTTTATACCATTTTGTTACTAAACAAATCATTTCTAGTATGGTTGCATTTGGTAAGCTATAAAAAACATATAAAATGACAAAAAATTTTTTTTTGTAAAAATGGAGTGGGTTAGCACCCTTGATCCTAATGCGCTTATGTAACTTTGATTCAATGATCATAGGTTCATACGAGAATATTTGACCCAAGGTCAACTATCTAATGTTTTTATTAATATCTACAATTAAGTCTAAAAAAATTAAAGCCATTTTTAAAAATCGGATCAAGGAAGTCTATTAAAAGACATCAGTGAATTTTAATACTCATAGACATTCCTGAATTGAACTGACAAGACAAGAAAACTTTATATTGAAAATGGTGAAAAATTTTTTTTTAAGCAATAACAGTGACAACACATTAGGATCACAACATTTTAATGAAACGTCTTGTGGTTCTATTTCAGGATATAGAAAAAAAAAGCAATTTCATTCTTTAATAACTGAGAAAACGTTAAGCCTCAGTAAAAAAAAAAACAATTTTATTCATTGGATTTGTTTTTTTTTTGCTTCTTATAAAAAGTTTGTGGTAAAACTAATGATAACTTAACTGGTTTTTATTAGAGATTTTGTTTTGACGACTTAAAAACAATACATGCACATTTATGGATAAATTTGAATTCGTATTAAGTATACATGCATAGAATCAAGGGATCAAGAAAGCATACTGGCAGGGCTGGCGCGAGTAGGTATCACGTGGGAGGGAGTGCAATTACAACTTTTACCGACTAAAAAAAAAAAAAATTTTTTTTATAATTTGCCGACTGCTTTAACGACATTTGTCAACTGACTGTCTAAGTTTACCGACTGACTTGTCGAAAAGGGTCTACATTTGCCAAATAATTAGTCAAGTTTGCCGACTAAATGAGCTGATGAGGGGGAGGGTCACACCCCCTCCTCCATTGCGCCGGCCTTGCATATTGGTATGTACGCTTGATTTCAATTGAGTTTTTTTAGTTTTTTTAATTTAAAATCTACTCAAGATATTCTGGTAAAAAAATGATTATCAAATTATAATAAAGCATAAAGTTTTCTATCGTGTACTGTTACTTTAGAGATCGAAATTAAAACATATATTCAGTTGGTTGGCCTGATTAATTTTTAGGATTATGTGTGCATACTCTCCCCTATAAGCTTTTTCTTTTTTTTTAGATTACATTTATTGTCACAAAAAAAAAAAAAAATTACTTGCACAAACACAAAATTTCTAAATGAAGCTCAAAGTGATCTTATTGCTAGAACCTTGTAGAAGCGTGTTTATCTAAACCATATCAATGCATAATCAACAAAATGAGACGTGCTATTCAACAAAAGTTCTAATTAAAATACATAGTTTCAATTAAAAGTACCTGACTACATCATCCGTTGAGAGAATTTAACTTTTTCAATTTATATTTGAAAGGATAAGTATAAGGTATTTTAAATTTGGACAAAATAATTTTATTCCAAAGATATGGTGCGCGATATGTTATACAAAAACTGATTAAACTTGGTTCGACAAATGGGTTCATATGTAAAATTATTATTTCTAAGAGTATATCTATTTATTACTTTTTCACAAAAATGACCTTAAAAAAAGGTTAAAGATAAGTCATTTTCCACATATAATTGAAGCATAAAACATTAAAAATATTAAGCTCGTATATATTAAAAATTTTTAATTTCAAAAAAAGAAGGGTTTAAAATGAGTGTATCGATCCGCAATATTTTTTAAACGGATCGCATGTTTCTTAATCTGTAAATTTTCTACGAAATTTAATGGAAATATTGTATTTTAACAAATATATTTAGTCAATATGCAATAACTAGGATCTAATGTGGATTAAAGTACAAATAACATTTAACTAGGTTCTAATTAATACTAATGACCAGTATCAATTTTTATAGAAGCTGTGCAGCAATGACTAGAGTTGCCTCAGAACCAGAAGGTGAGACCGTTTAAGCCAAAATTCTACTTCGATGCCGATAAACAACACATGTAAGGAAAGAGCGTGAACTTTCTCTCTTTCGCAATGCTTTGTAATAATTTATGTTTGAGCACCTAAATAAAATTAAAAAAAAAAAAAAAAATTTAAAGATTCCGAAATGGTGCTTTTTTAAATCTTGTTTTGTTTTTCCGACCAGTTTGGGGAAAGGTAGCGAAAATGTTTTCATTCGCACTTAAAAATATGCTAGTTTTATTTTAAGTATGAAACAAATATCTATATAACATTAATAAAAGTATTATATAAATTTTAGCTCTTTAATAGTATTTTGTTGAAGTTTACTTTTAGAGATTATTATGTATTGATATGAAAAATATTTTTTTGTTTTCAAACATAAATTTGATTTCCTTATCGTTGAGATCAGTATGGTCTAGAAAATATTTACTAAGGTAACAGAGGGTATTAAGCTCAATTGGGCATTAAGCCCCATTTCCTCTGTTCATATAATGAAATGGCTGGTGCTATTATATAAAGAGGAAGGGGCATTAAGTACTATATGATAGACTAACTAACCAATTAGAAAAATTTTCATAACCATTCTCAGAATGGTTCAATGTTTTAATTTACAGTGGCTTAATACCCCATTTTAATGCCAACTGTTTAAAAAGGTGATTGAAACAATCAAATAAAATTGATCAATAAAATTTATAATGAAAAAATAAAATTTATGTTAAAATTTTATAAACATTACACAGATATAATTTAAATTAAAAGCAAAAGTTATTTATTTGTCAAAATAGTTTAAATTTTTCTTTAACTATAGTTTTGGGAATGGAGCTTATTGCCCCCTTTAATTAAAAGAATGGTTGGGGCATACAAACAGAATAAAAAATGAGGCAGGAAAATCTATGCAATTAGCCAGACAATAACAGATGCCTAAAATTCTGTCATATGTAAGCAGATGTCTGCTAACCAGGAATCCAAGCACTATTTAAAGTAATTTCCAACACTAGTGCTCACAATGCTTCTGGCTCATCATCACTACTACGTGTATTGCTTTAAATCAGCTGAGAGAAGAAGCAGTAAAAAAAGATAATGCTCCAAGAAAAAAGATTAAAACAAAAAGAAGAAATCTTCCAGCCCAATATGATAGGGACAGTGATAAACATGATGACACTGTTTTTAAAATGTGGTATTCACAGAGGTCAAAGAGAAGAATGGATGTGCTGACTTATGTGATGTTTAATACCATGTTAAATTGCACAGAAGTTCCAGATGGAGCTGATAGTGAAGCGATGAACTAGATCTGTTGAAAGTGTCTAAAAATGATGTAAAAATATATGTTTTACATAATGGAGCTTATTAACCCCGTTTTTTAAAATTTAAATTGTTACGGCAGACTTTAGCGGAAAATCAGTATTTTTTTTAGCAAAAATAACTTTATTTGCTGTAAAAATTTAAAAAAACGTAAAAAAAAATAAGGTCCTCAAATTTTAATTTGGGCCCAAATATGGTTTACATTATCTAAAATAGCCCTGATATATATATATATATATATATATATATATATATATATATATATATATATATATATATATATATAAATATATATATATATATATATATATATATATATATATATATATATATATATATATATATATATATATATATATATTATCAAAACTATTATTTTAGAAATATTTTTATCATGATCAGCACTGATGATTGTTGCATTTGGCCGACTATAGAGGATTCAGATAGTTCTGAAAGTGAGTGTGAACTAAAAAAGCAAAACACTGATGATAACAACCTATGTGGCATTACAGAAGATGAAATTAATGGAGATTTCCCTCAACTGCCTCAGTTTCAGCATTGTGAGAATAGTGACAGTGAAGATGAAATTTTGAACAAAGAAGATACAAAGAAAAAAAATCCCTATTTAGCCCATATGTCTGGTGTGAAAAAGTATGAAAACCGCCTTCGAGAACTTCATTTAAAAAGGGTATTTATAAACATTTTATTAAAATTAAAACTTTTTCTAATTTTAAAAAATGTTAGATTTTTTTAATTAAAAACTAATTATTAGCAATATGCTTGATTGTTTGAGTATTTGTGCGTATGTGTATAGTTCTCATGGTGGTTGTAATGTTTTCACTAAAAGGAGGATTAAACCATCTGATATTGCATACTCAGTTCTTTTTTTTCTTTTTTTAAGGTGATGATGGTTTAAGTTTATAGGGCTGACTACATTAAGCAGACTACATAACCAGACTTAAATAATGATTTATTATACAGAGGGACATTTTGAAGTATTTCTTTGTTATAATAATTTGCAGACAATCTAAGTTCAACTGAGTTTAACTTAATAATTATATTTCAATCAGCATGAATGTAATTCAATCTATTATTAGATTTGAAATAAAGTTTAAAAAGGCAGTCACAGTGATTTAAAGTTGACAATTTTTATGTTGCACTGTATAGGTATACATGAGTCATAGCACTTAGCTATTTTTACAGTATCAATTTTATTTATTCCATTTAAGAGCCGCTTTTATTACTAAAAACTGCATTTCAAGCATTTTTTTACTGATTCATTTGTGAGATCTTTCTTATTTTTATTTATTCTTATTTTTAAGATATTTGTAAGATAGATCTTTATTAATTTTAGAAAGAAGATTTTTACTGTTTCTCATAATTTCATTTTTAGCTGGGTTTAATAAATTGCCTGATTGTTTGCAAAATTATTATTATGGTCGTTTATTAAAAGCAGAAACATTTAAAAGCAGCATTATTATCAAATTTATTGAAACCCCATTGTTCTTTAAAATACAACTGTTTTGTATGCTTATTTCACTTTGTATTTTTATGCTAGATAATTTTTAGTTTAAAGTAATGGCATTTAATTAGTAATTTTTAGATGAATTGTAAAGAATTATAATTTTATCAGCGTTATGATAATGATATGATATGATAAAATTTAATTTTCTCTTATCATGTGTAAGTTTATCTTTAATTTTATCCTATCATGTGTTTGTGAATATTGATTAAATCTTTAGTTTTTTTGAAAACATTTATTTTTACTATTCCAATTCTTGTTTATGAATAAGAATATTTCTTTGAGTAATGTAAATGTGTTTTGCTGTATATCATGTGTTTTACTGCTAAAACTAATTTTATTAAAATTTTATTTACTACTTAAAGTTTGGACATTAAAACCTTCTTTCCCAATTTGACACTGGTAATGACAGTGCCGTACCCAGCAATCTTCCGTCCGGAACCAGTATGACAGTTTTTCTCAATAAATTTTTAAGACAAAAAAAAAAAACAGCCTCAAATTAAAATAGTTTATATAATTTAAATTAAAATTATTTATATAATTAAAAATTATATAAATTAAAATAATTTATATAATTTTAAATAAAAATTAAAATAATTTTTATAATTTCATATTATAATTAATAATCCTATAATATTTTAAGCTGCTGTTGCCGTTACTCATTTGTGGGTGTTTAACACAGAACTCATGGCAGCTATAGTATAGAAATGTATAAGTATATAAGTATAGAAATAGTTGATGTGGAATACAATGACCTGTATTATACCTTACAATGACCTGTATTATACCGGTCATGGTAAGTCCATTATTCAACACATTTTTAACTTTATTTCCACATGTTTTATAAACTTTTTGATACCAATTGTAATTAATTAACACATTTTAAGCAGGTAATTCAAATATTATTTAGGTTGGTACTAATATCTGAACCGCTAATAAATAGTGGCTCATGCAATGGCTACTGAAGTGTTTAAAATTTTAAAAATGCAATTCAATGGTCAACAATAGAAAAAAAGAATATAAAAAAATGAAACAAAATATTATCCCTCACAAGATTTTTTATTTTTAGATGATATGTTATAAATTTAGGTAAGTAACTGTTTATAAAGCAATTCTTATTTCAGAACTGTCTCAAAATCTAATTGGCTCTCTCGTTTATTCTCGCTAAATTTATCAAGACCCAACAACATTAAATGCAAATCATATCCTTTATCAGCTGATTCTTTGTTTTGTAAAATAATAGCATCAAGTGCATTAATAATTGACTAAATATTGCCTTTTTGACAGAAAAATATTATATTGTAATATTATTATAATTATATATATATATATATATATATATATATATATATATATATAAAATTAATATAATATATATATATATATATATATAATTATTATAATATACTTTGTATAACAGCTCATATTTAGGGATTAAGTGCTCAAACACAATTTCAAGGCGATGATTTCTACAGTTAATATGCTTTGAATGGGGCACAATATGTTGCAACCTCCCCTGAAACCCAGACCTAGAAGTTGCAAGTATTAATTTCTAGTTTTTAGCAACTAAATTATTTCCATAGCCTTATTAATTAAAAAAAACCATCTTTGCTTATCCTAGTCTTCAGAATAAAACAAAAACCAATGGAATTAACATGTGTACCTTTCCTTCTTATTGTATTGGTGTCATTTATGCCAATGGATGAAATTTTAAGTTATTTTTGTTGATGCTTTTTGAATTCAAACATTCTTGAATTGTTTCACAGAGTGCTTCAGCCTCCTTATTACAATAATCTCAATGATTATAGGAATTCCTCCTCTACTTTATTTTCACTGTTAACATAGCGGATGAAAATTGACAAATTGGCTCAATCAGCCATATCAGTTGTTTCACCTGATAAAATACTTAACTGCGTTTATAAGGTGCGTTAATAAACCATTCTCTAAATGATCGCTTAAATATTTAATAAAGCTGTCAACAGATCTTCCCAATGTATAGGATGCATTTTTTGAAAAGAATAATAAATACACTTTGATGTTTGTTTTGCCAAGATCTTTTATGTAGTTAGCAAGATCTTCAAAGCTTTCACTTCCCATCTTTTGCCTGCTTAAATTATACAGTTTTCACTAACTTCTGTATGACTTTTCTGTTTTGGTACTTTCATTTGGCTTTTTTTCAGTTTTGGCTCTGCGCAAAGCAAGTTTGTATACCTTTCACTAAGGATCTCGTGGTATATTGCCGCTGCTTCAAAACGTCTGTATGCTTTGCAGATAAAATCCCATCAAATGTGCGTTTTGGGTGTTCCCATAGTTTTGCACATTCACTATGCCATTTTATGTCGCTAACAGTGCCATATTCAGAGCATATTCACTCTATCACTTCACTCTTTCACTCTAGCACTTCACTTTATCACCTTTCTCTTTGTTCTATATCGCTCACCTTTCTCTTTGTTCTATACCTTTCTCTTTATCCTTCAGCCAATATTGTTTTTGTTGGTTTTTTAACGCTCATTACACTGAATGGCTTAGTTCTAGTATCAGTGACTCTGTAGGCGTTAAAGACCACAATTTTTGCCTTTCTCAATCTCTAAGACAAATAGTAAACATTCCAAATCACTTTTCAGGCAATCCATTTCATCTACCTCCTCTACTCAACTTGTATCTTGCTTCTAATTTTAGTCAGTGCTCTGTTTTTCCATATTTACCCGTAGGTGCTTTTGATCACAATTTAATCTCTCTAAAACTATTTTTTCAGTCTTCTTCATCATCAGAATCCCCCTATCATTGTACCTCATACAACTATCTTGAAGCAAAAATTTATAATTCCAATCATAAAAGTATAGATAATTGTTAAAATGCATAATATGCTTCACATGTTCAAATTTGTTTTTGTAGAAAATTGTTGAAATTCTTTATTGCATGCCTTTGATGATTAATACTCCTTCATTAATACAATTGATTACTTATAAAAGTTAGCATTATTAGTTAAGTCCGACATTATAATCATAATTAAAAAATGTAGTTTACGTAAATGTATGTAAAAATTACATAACATATATATCTTTTTAATTTATTGAATTAAAGATAATATATATCTAAGGATATAATTTTCTAATATATTTTGTGCGCTTTAAATTTAAAAAAAGAAGAAAAAAGTTAAATTTAAAAATAGAAAAAAAATATTTTCTAATATATTTTGGTGCGCTTCTATCTAAAATCTGAAAAAGAAGAAAAAAGCAAAGAATATTGAAAGAGTTTATTGCTGGCCCAACCCAATTTAGGATATTCCAACTTGAGTAATTTGTGAACAACTGTGTATGGGGAGAATAGGAGGGTCTAACAAATGTATGTAAACACATAAAATTGGGGTGGCAGTTCACATTCACTTGCCTATTAATAAAAGGTTAATGCCGCTCATGTTCATGGCCTGTTAAAGTGTAAAGATTAGACAGTGCAAGAAAAAAAGGGATTACATTTGTGTGTGTAAATAAAATTGGGGGAGGGGGTTAGACCACCAAGCATATGAAACTTTTATAGGGGTGGTGTGGGGGTAAGATGCTTGTGGGGGAGGGGGTAAGAATACTAAGCATACATATGCATGAGGGATGGGGGGTGTAAAAATGCACTAGGTGTAACAGGGGGGAGGGAGGGGCTTCCCAATCTAGAGATTTTTGCATACATAATATATGGATAGCCCTTATAAATATATATATATATATATATATATATATATATATATATATATATATATATATATATATATATATATATATATATACACACTTTTGAGAAAAAACTAACATTTATGTTTTTAAAAGTTTGTTCTTCAAGTTCTTTAAGTAATGTTTTTTAGTGTTGTTTTCATTATTTTCTAGCAAGAGTTATTTGATGGTAGTATTTTTGGATACGCACTTCAGAAAAGCTACTAGTTAATGATTGGTCATCAAAATGAAATTAATGGTTTGCAGCATATTCCCACTCATTGCAACATTTTTTTAAATTTAAATATATTTTATAGATGTCTAAAACATGTTTACTGAGTTTCAAAGTACAAATATAGGCAATTTCTTTTGTTTGGTAAAATTCTTTTTTCCCATAAAATGATCATTTAATGTCCAGATTTAAAAGAAGACAGGAAAAAGTTTAAAGCTTTAATTACCAAGTAT